AACCTTTTCTTTTTATTTAGACAGAAAGGGGAATGCTGCAGGATATTTTTTTGCACTGACACTCCCAGACTGCTAATAAAGTTTACCTTGAATTAGAGAGCAAAGTCAGCAATTGGTTGACTGGAATTGGCCATAAGGATTTTAGAGGACCCAACTAGGGGGGTAATGGGTGGCATGTTCTAACTATTGTAACAGAGCTTCACCCTCATCAATGACCAGTGATGGGACATACAAGGCAGCCTTCCTTGCCATTAACTTCAAAGAAGTCATTGGAAGAAAATGATGGAAGAAAAGCCTGGCTGATTGCTAGAACCATCAGTTACTGTCTCAGTTTACAATATATAATGGTTTACTGCTGTCATTGTCCATCCTACAGATGATTTAGTATTTTGGAATAGAGACACTTGTACACATTGCTGATACAGGGCACAAGGGCCATTAACTGTCCTGCTTTCAGCTTAAGTCCCTGAGGCATTTCTCCTGTCCTGCTGCAGTCAGTACCTGTGTCGGCAGGTGAGTTCACGAGCAGCCTTTCTGTGGGGAGGAAGAATAACTATATACAAAGTAGAGAAGTCTCCCATTATGTGACAACATTAGTGCAATAAAATCTTGCATAAAGTTTAAAAATAAGCAAATAAAAATAATAAAGGTGAAAAAGAAAGAACAAGAAGGTGGAATAGTCGTGTGACCCAAGATACTTCTTCGATTGGAAGATACGTGAACTTAAATCCTGAAAATCCTTTTTAAAAAAATGATCTAGAACTCAGGATCCCCCTGCCTCATCCTCCTGAATGCTGGGACTCCAGGTGTGCATTGCTGTGCTGGGTGCAATTTTGAAGACTCTTAAAGAAGTGAGGAAATGATGGGAGGACAGTTGTCAGAGGCAGCTGGGCAGAGCGAGGGAAAACAGTCGTGGAGCAGGGGGAGTGAAAGACAATAAAAGGAGTCGCGAAATGGGGCAAAACGCCGTCAGGTTCTAGAAACTAAGAGGAATCAGCAAAAGGGAAGCTCGCCATTCGACTTACTGTATTTCTTGGAGGGTATCTCGACGTCTTAGCTGGTGTAACAGCATGGACTTGGTCTGGATGCCAGTGTATCTGGACATAAGGTATAAGACCCTAGTCCGCACAGTCTTATCACTGTCCATCAACCCCGTAGTCAGTGGAAGGGTAAAAACGTGGCTTATGAAACCCAGCCTCTCTAGCATCTCCCAGGCTAGCTCACGGATACCGGAGTTGTAATGGGTTATATCTTTGAGCAGGCGGCAGGCTGTCTCAATACGCATCTTTGAAGGGATTTGGTAACTGGCGAAAATCTGTGTCAGAGCACCAAAATATTTCTTGTATTTTTCTGTAGAACAGTAAACTGTGAGGTTGAGAATGGTCTCTACCAAATTTTCTACAAGCCCATCACTAAATCTTCTTCCTGTCCATCTTTTATTGGACATGCTTTCAAGGATACCATAGGATTCTCTTTTCTCCTCCTGGTACATATCCCCCCGTTTTTCACTTAACAGTTCCATGTCTCCTAGATTCACAGATGACAGTGACCGGGATCTTAATGGTCCAAGTGCATCCTTATCCTTATCTTTGTAGGATAGGCTTAGATCATAGCGCAAGAAAACTGGGGTACCATTAGGCCAAAGGCGGGCACGAATCACTGAGTTAGGGATGTAGCAATCAGGAGCAAAGGGCCATTCCCGCCCTTGGCCAAAGAAGCTTTGGAACATGTGGTAAATGTTCAGCCCGTCCCAGCCAGGCAGGTGTAACTGAGCAGGGATGGCATTAGGATACATCTGCTTGGAGTCAGAAGTATCGGCATACTTATCCTCCACAAAGTACAACCCAGGTCTCTTGTGAGTTGTGATGGGTATTTGTTTGCCTTCCTCGACAACATGGGGCACAGTGTCATCAAAAGCAATGGCCCGTTTGTTGACAAGAGTGTCGAGCCCCTTAAGTTCCTGAACACTTTGTTCCAGGTACATAAATTTGGGTACAAATATCACTTCAAATGAAAACATGAAACTAGGAAGGAAGGGCTTCGGGATTTCTTGTATTTCATCTTCGATGTTTAGTGTATTTAGGTGCATCAGCCGAGTAAGAGGGAGTAACTTTAGGCAGGACACTATGTAGATGCTCTGGTTGAAAGTCAAAAGCAGGTCACCTCGATCATTGGCAAAGCAAGGTGAACCAAAATGCAGTTCGGAGTCAAACTGAGTTACCAGTTTCCCATGGAAGTCCCAGATCCGGACTGATCCATCAGTGGCTCCTGTGACAAAGAGTTTCAGGGAGAGGCAGACATCAAAGGAAGTGACAGCACATTCGTGCAGGCAGTTTGTCTCTCTTGACATAAAATTTTGTCTTGATTGTGATGTTAGAAAATCTTTATAGTGCCAGAGAACCCAGCAGGAGTGCTCAGTGATAGCACCCACAGAACCTGGCAAGAGTACCACATGTTTCAAGGGATAAACACAGAGAATTTTACTGACAGGCTCTAGGGTCATGTTCTTCTCTGAACGTACCACCTTTGTGAGGTGTATGTACTTGTCCTTGCCATAGGAGCACAGTAAAGGATTTTCTTCAAAACCCTCCGGGGTAGACAAGGCCAGCACTGCCCCGGAGTGGATAGTGTTCTCCGTCCGAATCGAGCAGTACTGAGACAAGATTCTCACAATGCCGCTCTCGTGCCCACAGAATATCAGTCCTTTGTTACTATTGCCCAAATGGGACCTCCCGTAAGCCAGGCATTTTACTTTATCTCTGTAGTTTTCTGAAGTGCACACGATATATTTGGCTGTACAAGGGGAACGTGTGACATCAAACACCAGCACCTCTGGACTGTCTATTGCCACAAAGAGCTCCTCTCTCTCTGAGTGATAGACCCACGCCACAGCCTTATCCATGATAAGCAGAGGCCACGTAACAACCAGGAGGTCCCCTGTTACTGGAGACAAGAAACGCAGTAAACCGTCCTCGGTGGCACACAGGATGCGAGTCCAGTTACGGCCACAGAGGACCCGCTGTATCTTCTGCGGAGCAGAGCCGCAGATATTGAAGAGCCTGTAAAAGTGGGGCAGGCGATTCAGTGAGAAAGTAGAGGCACTCTGGCAGAAGAAAGTGTTGTTATCCATAAACTGCAGTTGTTGCAGACCTGTGCCAACATTCAGCTGCCGCAGCAAGTTCCCAGAAGCAAGGTTCCATTCCTTCAACAAACCCTCTCTCCCCGCCGTGAACAAGGTGTAGGTCTCTGGTCGACTGTTGACGCACATCACTGATGAGGAATGGGCCTTGAAGCTGTGGAGGAAGTTACTGTTATCTATACCCCAAGCGTGGATCTCTCCATTCTTGTTTCCAGCGTAGAAGGTGTTCTGTGAAACACAGCTACAGGAGCAGGTGAGGGAGGAGCCGCTGGTTAGGGAAGTGAATGTCTTCACTTCTCTAAGCTGGCCTTGACCCTCCTGGGTAAAGACCCTCACCACACTCTCACACAGAGCCATCAGGAAGCCCAGGGATGAGTTCAGGGACAAGTCCTGTACAAGCTCACGACCGCTCACAGCCACTTTTTGAGCCATCTGGAGGCCCTCGCCATTTGCTAAGATCGACCAGGTAATCACAGCTCCCGAAGTACCAGAAAACAGCACCCCAGTTTCTGAGTCATAGCAGAGACAGCTGATGGAGAAACGACAAGGCACTGTGCTCAGAGTGACGAATGCCTGACGGTGGTCTCCGAAGAGCCGCAGGCGCATGTCGTCGCAGTAAGCTATTAACAGGCGATGGGAGCTCGCGTGGACCATTGATTTAATGGGTGGCACTTCAGCCATCATGGGAAATTTCATCTTCTTGACTATCCTTTTCTTTTCTTTATTTTTTTCCTGTATCCACAGTACTGCCTAGAAGAAGGTGGGAAACAGAAGCCTGGTCAAGCGGGAAGAGCATCTCCCAGGAATGCACTGTAAGGAAAAATGTCTGTTTCCTCTTACAGATAGAAGAAGGATTTGGCTTTGGGGGTTTCCTAGTACTAGATACTGGACTTACAATAGAAGTCCTGAGTCCAAGACCATTTTGTTGGCCTTCAGTCTACTTTATGATGAACATGTATTCTTTGGGCCTGGTAGTAAAAGGGTCGCTAATCTAGGTCAAACTCCAACATGGAGCCAGGTATTAAAATGAACTGATTTTCCAGCTGTGGGGGCATAGCCTGTAATCCCAGCCCCCAGGATGCTGAGGTGGACAACTTGGACCACATAGTGAGTTTGAAGCCAGCCTGAAATACATAGGAAAACCCTGTCTCAATGAATGAATGAGTGAACATATAATATGAATTTATTCAGAGGCATCCCTCTCACTCTGAAACAAGGACATTTTAGGTATGGGACATATAAATTGCATTATGAAGGAAGAAGCAAAATTGAAGTAGCTTTACTTGTATTTGTTTGTCATACTGTTCCAACCAGTTTAAGGCGATGAAATAGTTGGCATCCAGAGAGTAGAAGCACACAAAAAGCTTTTTCTGTAAATGATAAGACTCCTGGTACAGAGTCTGGTGCCGGTCACTCAGGACAATCACATTACGCCTGATGTCTTCCTGAATCTAAAAGAGAAAAATGACAGGTGCTAAGAAGTATGAGCAGACACTTACTCATTAAACAGACACTGAGGGATTAGTGAACATTGGTTTAGCTTGTTTGAGCCTAACTGATATTTTTTTGTCCTACCAATGGAAGGCATTATCTGGGGACCACTCCTCCCCTAATTAGCCTCAGGCTACAACAGAATTCTTCTGGGCTTTTTCTTTAAAGAAAAACATTATGGAGGCTGGAGAGATGGCTCAGCGGTTAAGAGTACTGTCTGCTCTTCCTGAGGAGCCAGGTTCGAGTCCCAGCATCCACATGGCAGCTCACAGCTGCCTGGAACTCCCGTTCCAGGGGATCAGACATACATAAAGGCAAAAAAAAAAAAAAAAACCCACCAATTCATATAAAATAAAAATAATTAAAAGAAAAAATTATGGAACATTTCACAAATTTTCATGTCATCCTTGAGCAGGGGCCATGCTGATCTTCTCTGTGTAGTTCTAGTTACAGTATATGTGCTGCCAAAGAAAGCACATATCTGGACTTTCCTTTTTTAAAAAAAGATTTATTTATTTATATGTATTTAGTGTTCTGCCTACACACCAGAAGAGGAACCAGATCTCATTATAGATGGTATGAGCCACCATGTGGTTGCTGGGAACTGAACTCAGGACCTTTGGAAGAGCAGCCAGTGAACCTCTGAGCCGTCTCTCCGGCCCTTCTGGACTTTCTTAACTAAGGTTCCAAAGAAAATTAAGCCCTACCATCCCCTCATGGAATAAAAGGATTCCTTTAGTTATGTAGCCTTGAAAACCAAGAGATAGCTACTCAAACCACCTCCTGTTGGCGTGGTTCAGATGGAAAAGCCTAGTTGAGAATGGCTAGTTGATTCTGTTCATAGTTTTGTTTTTGATTTTTCTTTTTTTTTTTTTTTTTTTTTTTTTTGGTTTTTCAAGACAGGGTTTCTCTGTGTAGCTTTGCGCCTTTTCCTGGATCTCGCGCTGTAGACCAGGCTGGCCTCGAACTCACAGAGATCCGCCTGCCTCTGCCTCCCGAGTGCTGGGATTAAAGGCGTGCGCCACCACCGCCCGGCTGTTTTTGATTTTTCAATACTAAACACTGGATCTAAGCTGGGCGGCGGCGGCGGCGGCGGCGGCGGCGGCGGCGGCGGCGGCGGCACACGCCTTTAATCCCAGCACTCGGGAGGCAGAGCCAGGCGGATCTCTGTGAGTTCGAGGCCAGCCTGGACTACCAAGTGAGTTCCAGGAAAGGCGCAAAGCTACACAGAGAAACCCTGTCTCGGAAAACAAACAAACAAACAAATGAAAAAGACCAGATCTAGAGCCTCCTGAATGCTAGGCAGAGGTTTTTTATCACTGAGCCACATCTCTACCCCCTCACTAGTGAATTTTAGACAAGTGCTCTATTGCTCAGCCATACCCTTTTTTAATTTTAAAAATATTTTAAAATTTCATATGTGTGTATATTTTGTATGTGCAAACCTATATGTATGTGTAACACCTGTGTGCAATGCCCAAGGAGGCCAGAAGAGGTCATAATCTTCTGGAATTGAAGTTACACAAGATTGTGAGTTACCTAATCTGGTAATGGGATCCAAACTTGGGTTCTCTAGAAGAGTAGCAAATGCTCTTCATAGCTAAGCCCTCTGTCTAGCCCCTGTCTGGCTGTTTTGAAGCAATGTCTCACTATGGAGCCCAGGCTGGAACTTGTAACCATCCTGCCCTAGCCTTGTTATAAGCTGCAAAAATGTATAAAGTATGATTTCAGCTGATTGTGACAAAGCTAACACCTGGAAGAAGCCCAGGGCCTTCCAGAGGTCAAGCTGAGGCTCAAGGAGCCTTGGTGATATTTGGCTTTTGATTATTAGCCGTTTCCTGCTATGAGTTTCTTGTGTGCTGTTGTAGCTTTTCCATCATTTATTGGGCACTACTTCCCCTCTACTACTGGAATATTTAGATAACCTTCTGCACTGACAGCTATGCACAGCCAGAACCCCAGTTCAAGCCTCCCTGTAATTACTGTCATCTGGCCAGGACCATCCCTGGAGGGACGAAAGTATCTTATTAGAGAAACCTCTGTACTCTCTAAGAACAAACTTAAGCATCCAAGGTCAAATGAAACAACATCTGCCTTTTAGGTCAGGAGAATAGCTTTATTTCTTGTGCAATTTAGGGTGAGACCCTCCTTTCTTACAGCCTTACCAATAGACTCCTAATTTCTTACCTAACCACTTCTAGGAATGTAGATTGAGCACATAAATTCCCTTCTTGACTAACCAATCATTAGCTCTCAGTTGACCTCCCCCTTTACCACTCCCATTTTGGGTTGTAAAAGAAAGCCTGATGTCACGGCCTGAGGAAAATTCTTACCTACCTTTATGACCCTGTAAGAATTCAAGCCTGGTGATCTTGCTCTGCCAGAGGATCACCATTGCTTGGGTTTATAACTGAACACCTCAGAGACTTGGGAAGAACTTGGAGGTATAAGGAGACAGAGAGGAAGATAGGACTGGAGAACTTGAGGACAAGATGGAAGATGAGGAAGAGTCAGATGGGAAAGTACTAGATGGGTAAGAAGAAGATGAGAAGGACCTAGATGAGGCAGAACTAAGATGAGAGAATTAAGATAGAACTTAGAGGGGACAGCAGATAAAGGTAGAGACAAATCAGACAAGAAAGGAACTAGGCTTGAGTACAGAACCGTAGCTGTGTAGATAGGATCTTATCCCAGAGGAACAAAGTACACGGACAAAGAGCTTGGTGTACTTAGATTCATTTCCCGAAAATAATTCTCGCCATTTGTAGTGCTCTTCTGAGCCCCTGGGAAGTATATTATTAAGGCTGGTCCTATAATAATATACAAGACAGCCTCCCAAGCAATGGGATTACAGGTATACCCCACTACACCCAGGCAATGAGCTCATCTTTTTTTTTAAAGACTTTTATTAATTCTTAAAATTATGTGTATCAATGGGCAGTGGTGCCACATGCCTTTAATCCCAGCACACTGTGAGTTCAAGGACAGCCTGATCTACATAGCTAGTTGGAGGACAGTCAGGGCTACACAGAGAAACCCTGTCTTGAAAAACAAACAAAAATTATGTGCATGTGTGTGTGCCACATGTATGTGGGTACCTTCATGTATGAAGCAGTCATTCATTCATTGAACTATGTCAAGAGTGAACTCCAGTGGACCATTCTGCTTCTGTGTGTGAGTAGGTGCACAGGTGTGCTACAGGCATTGGACCTCTTCAAGCTAGAGTTACAGATAGCTGTGAGCCACAGGTGTGGGTTCTGGGAACTGAACTCCAGTCCTCTGGGAGAACAGTATGCAATCTTAACTCCTGAGCCATTTTTCCAGCCCCTTAATGCTAATGTTCTAATGTAGAAGAGAAAGTTGTTTGACTGTATGAGGGGAGCTCTCCATGAATGTTCATGTCTTACCCATGCCCATCCTCCCATGGCAGGAAGAGATCATTCCAACAGCCCACCACATGCATAGCTTTCCCACAAATCACCTCTCTGTCATTCAAGATGTCATTTATGATAGATTTCAAATTCTTCCACTCAGGAATAAGTCTAGGTGAGAGCAAAGTCTTAGAAACTTTCCAGTTCTTCTTAGTCATCTTGGAGTATAGAACCTGGGAAAGATGAGAACATCTGACGTCAGGCTGGAAATTAAGGGAACTGAGAAAAGCGTAAGTTACAGAGGGAGGAACAAGTATTTATCAATGGGAAAACTCCTCTGTTTATGTGTATGAGCATTTTGTCTCCAAGTATGCATGTGCACCACATGTATGCCTGGTACCTGGGAGAGGTCAGAAAGGGAACCAGATTCCCTGGAACTAGAGTTACAAATGGCTGTGATCTGCCATGTGGGTGCTGGTAATCCAACCTGGGTTCTCTTCAGCAGTTACAAGTGAGGCTAGGAGCTGTGGCACATGCCTTTAATCCCATTTAATCCCATTACTCAGGAGACAGAGGCAGGCAGATTTCTGTGAGTTCGAGGCCAGCCTGGACTACAAAGTGACTTTTAGGACAGCCAGAGCTACATAGTGAGACCCTGTCTTGAAACAACAACAAAAATCAAATCAAGGATTTGAATTTTCCTTTCTCCCCCACCTCCCACCCTTGCCTAAGACAGGGTCTCACTATATAGCCCTAGCTGGTCTAGAACTCACTATGTAGACCAGGCTGGCCTTAAATTCATGGAGACCTACCTCATGCATGAGCTACCACGTCTGGCAAAAAATAAAAAAGTTGGGTTTTGCCAACTAAAGCAATTCAAAAATTAAAGTCAGATAATGAAAATCAAAAGGCTTGCAGTGTGGTGGTGGCTCATGCCTTTAATCCCAGCACTCAGGAGGCAGAGGCAGGGGGATCTCTGTGAGTTCGAGGCCAGCCTGGTCTACAGAGTGAGTTCCAGGACAGCCAGGGCCGTTACACAGCGAAACCTTGTCTCAAAATAAAGAAACAAAACAAAAACAGAAAAACAAGAACAAAAAGAACAGAAAAAGAAAAAGGGAAAAAAAGAAAGAAAGAATATCGAAAGGCTTTACAATTAAAATTTTTAACTGCATTGTAAAACCAGCGTTCTGGCACTGTGAAAGGGCCATACTGAAATCAAGAGAGAATGAGAGACGAAACAGAAGCGGAGTCCCACAAATTTACATTTATATCCTCCGGTTCTGCCACTTCGCTGTTTCTCTTTTTCCTTTGGATTTCTCAGACCCAATAGTCCCATCTGACGGATAGCAGAAGTCGTCATGATCTCAGCAGGACCAATGCCATTCATCACACTTCCTCCTAGCGGTTTCTAATAGTGTACAATACCATAGGCTTCCCATTCACTCCCCATTCCCTCCACACCTTCGCCATCCAGAGGACTACGTACCCTTAATTCAAGAGACAAACTCCACTTACAGGTTTCCACAGAAGGTGAGTCACCAGCTCCAACATCATAATGCATTGGACTCCCCAAGCCCCCTCCCCCAACCCACACATCTGTGGGGTTCACTGACAGCACCAACTTCCCTAAGAATCTGAAACTTCCCCAGCGAATGTGCCAGTGCTGGGAGGCATGGGGACGGGGAAGGATGAGTTTAAGAAGCCAGCATTATATTGCAGCAGAATGGAGGGGAATTGAGAGTAGCCTTTCATGACAGTGGATTTCTGAGGGCTGGTCTTGGGAGTCTTACAGTCTGATGAGAGACCTGTGTTGGAGGTAGGGGCAAGAGCTGTGCATGATTAAACTTTGTGTTTACATGCCTCAACGCTGTTCTAAAGGCTTACCTGTGCAGCATTACCTAACTGCCTTAAGGTAGGGCTGACAAAATAATTAACTTCGAATTTTAGGTACTAGGACACAGCTTGTTCTAAAAAGAAATCGCGGGCTTAGGTCTGAGGATGGAGCTTAGTTGGTAGAGTGCTTGCCTAGCACAATCGAAGCCCTGGGTTTGATGGCGTACCCGACACGGTGGTGTACCTCAGTAATCTCAGTACTCGGGAGGTGAA